TCTAGAACTTTTAGAACTTCTAGAACTTCTACAACTTTTAGAACTTTTAGAACTTTTAGAACTTTTAGAACTTCTAACTTCTAGAACTTTTAGAACTTTTAGAACTTTTAGAACTTTTAGAACTTTTAGAACTTTTAGAACTTGTAGAACTTTTAGAACTTTTGGAACTTTTGGAATTTAAAGAACTTTTAGAACTTTTAGAACTTCTAGAACTTTTGGAACTTTTAGAACTTTTAGAACCTTTGGAACTTTTAGAACTTTGTATACATGCACATATGTGCATGTATGTATGTATGTATGTATAGATATACATACATGTACACATACACACACTTACAGTATAAATATACATAAACAAAAAGACACAAACACATACATGTACATATCACTACATATATATCTGGACATACACACACATATGTGTATATATACAGGTGTGTGTGTGTATATATTTACATAGATATATACATACATCGACATGAAGTATGTATTGTATGTCTGTAGATAAATGTGGGAAATGTGTATTGTATGTCTGTAGATATATGTGGGGGGGCTTCGGGCGTGTTTGGTGCAGCCTTGCTTCCTGAAAGGTGTTTGCTCTGATGATGTCTGTGTATGGTTCCGCAGTTTGAACCCTTCTGGAATTGAACTTTTAGAGCTTTTAGAACTTCTAGAACTTTTTGAACTTTTAGAACTTTTGGAACGTTTAGAACTTTTAGAACTTCTAGAACTTTTACAACTTTTAGAATTTTTACAACTTTTAGAACTTCTGGAACTTTTAGAACTTCTAGAACTTCTAGAACTTTTACACCTTTTAGAACTTGTGGAACTTTTAGAACTTTTAGAACTTCTAGAACTTTTAGAACTTTTAGAACTTGTAGAATTTTTAGAACTTTTGGAACTTTTGGAACTTTTAGAACTTTTAGAACCTGTAGATCCTTTGGAACCTTTAGAGCTTCTAAAAGTTCTAACAGTTCTAGAAGTTCTAAAAGTTCTAAAATTTCCAAAAGTTCTAAAAGTTCGAAAAGTTCTAAAAGTTCCGCAGTTTGAACCCTGTTGGAATGTTTAGAAGTTTTAGAACTTCTAGAACTGTTAGAACTTGTGGAACTTCTAGAACTTACTTTTAGAACGTTTAGAACTTTTAGAATTTCTGGAACTTGTACAACTTTTTCGACCCTTTAGCTGCTGAAACGCCCACGTGCCCCAAATGCAGTGAAGACGTTCCCACGCGCCCCAAATGCTGTCAACCCAAAAAAACAATCCTTTTTTGCAAAAGTGCTGTAGTGTCCCAAAAAAACCAATCTATTGGAGGCCGCTACACGGCAGCTGCTCCAAGACTGTAGAAGATTGTTTTTTTTGGTTTTTTTGGGACAGTACAGCACTTTTGCAAAAAAAGATTGGATTTTTTGGGACAGTACCGCGCTTTTTCTAGTTTGCGGAGAAGTGTGATGCAGAGCGAGTACTCAAGTGCTGAGCATCCTGCTGCTATACTCAAAGTGGTGCAAGCGCCCTCTAAGGCCACAAAACGTTCATGGAGAGTCTTGTCACAAGTCTCAGCCAAGAGGGTGCTCGAATGCTCTGTTTTTTGTCTCATGGTGCTGCCTGCAGAAGGAAAACACAGGAATGTATTGGTAACTGGGGGGGGGTACCATATATGTATACATCATTATAATGATATATAGTAGCCCTATTAAGAGGAGGAGTTGCCCTTCTTGTGGGGTGGGCACGGTCTATCCCTGGGTGATCGGCTTGTACGTGCTTTTCAAGACTTCGCGTCTTGGGCGCGGGCCAGGGGAATCCAGTTGCTCAGTCGGTAAGATCTTAAGCTTTGTTACAACCATAGGAGAATCATTAGTTCTAGGGGTTCTAGTGACACTGGTGTATTTGCATTGGATAATGGAACAGGCATTCTCAGCCGCCCTTCAGCACGACCTTTTTCAAGGGAGGAGGAGAAGACTTTCACGCAATGGCCGCCAAGGGCTACAATGCATGGCTTATAGTGTATCTTAGTATACACAGAAGAATCTTAGGCTAGTTATATGGCCTGGTACAATCTCTAGCTAGATCTAAGGCAAGGTGCATTATCGCCTGGCTGTCCGATACGATGTTGCATCTCCTACATGAGCTACCGGAGGACCCTGAGATGCGACTGCTGGCCAGCTGTGTGTGTGTGACCGGCTACAATAGTATAATGTCTTTCAAACATAACTCGCGATCGTGCAACCTCGAATCGCTATGGATGGAACCTGATCTATGATCATAAATCCCTAGACCCTAACCTGAAGACTTGAACACGCTCAGGTACCACCTGGCCGAGCTCTTCAACAAGATGGAGCGAGAAGGCGAGAACCAAGGTTCCTGCAACAGGATGCGGCAGACAGGATAAAGCAGCTTATTGCCACTAGGATATATACGGATCCCAGCTTGCAATGAGGTATGTTCTATTTAATAATCTCGATCCCAGGATTTCTCCACCACGAGCTACGTTCGGATGGCGAAGCGAATGGTCGGGGCAAAGATCATGATGTTCCCTTTGAAGCCGAAGCTTCACGCAGCTTGGCCTATCATGTGGATTTGGGAAAATGGGATTCAACATGCCAAATTATAAACATCCGAGGCCATGCAGGAGCTGGCCTACTGGACTGCGGTTGACCGTCCCACTGCTGCATTCATCATATTGGCTAGCCAGAATATGCAACTGATAACAAATTGTGTGCAATCCTTGTACAGTGCACTTGCGAGCTTGCAACCCAGGAGTCAACCCCCGGAGCTACCATACCTTCAAGGATGAGGACTTGAGCGGCAGAATCGTCAGCAACCTGTCTGCATATGCTACATTTGAACACAAGTCCATGTTCCAACCCAGGAGTTGCCAAATGCACCAGTGCCCGAAACATGGAGGCTGCGGTTCTCAGGAGGTACTACAGCTGGTGCCGTGGTGATTATTAATTTATATTGTGTCTGGTCCAGTGCACTGCTGTTCACTACATCCCTGTGAATCTGCTGTAGTATCCGAGGCTGGGGTTCTCGCGGGCAAACAACTTTGCATCCGATGATGAGCTCGAGTGAAGCATCATATCTTCAGAGGTCTTAATTAGTGCTTTTCCAGCTAGCTGTGCCAACTGAGAGTGCCAATCGGGGGCTCAAAACCCCTAACCCGCGACCCCTATATGCCCTACAGCTCCATTTTCCGTTTTAGGCCTATGAAGTGGTTGGATGGAGAGAGCTGATGCACTTGCATCCGCTTGATCATGATCGACTGCCCGGTGCGCCGAAACAAACATGGCGGGCAATTGCTGCTAGGGTTTATAAGGTTTGGCTAGGTTTAGGTTTTAGGGTTTACCTTGTGTTTAGGGTTTAGCTAGGGTTGCGGTTGTAGGGTCTAGCTGAGGTTCAGGGTTTAGCTAGGTTGAGGTTTCAGGGTTTCGCTGGGGTTGAAGGGTTATCTCGGGGTTAAGGTGTAGGGTTCAGCTAGGGATTTTTTTAAGGCTTAAAGCTATAGAGATTGGGGTTTGGCTAGGGCTTAGGTTTCAGGGTTTAGCTAGCTAGGGTTTCAGGGTTAGCTCGGGATTATGTTTTAGGGTTTAGCCGGGGGTTTGAATATAGGTTTAGCTAGGGTAGGGCGTTTAAGGTTCAGGCTTCAGGGTTTAAGGTACATGCATGTTCCATATGTATATATAGCTCTATGTTACAACTATAAAGCCCAGTGTGTACATGTATTTTCGTGTTGCGATATATGTACTGTATAGTGATCACCCTCGGGCTGTATTACTCGAGAAGCTTCTCGTGGCTATAGATGCCCCAAATGCGAGGCTTGGCTTGGCAACACTCTGAGGCGGTCGGCTGATAAGTTAGAGTTAGAAGTGCTAGGATGCTGTATATGTTGATCGGGTATCGACTTTCAATCATCAAGCCATTCGTTCGTTCATCTTGCAATTGAGGAAATTTAGGCCAAAATCACCGAAACCCAATACCAGCGTTAATGCGTTATTTGCGAGACAAGGCATTACTTCCCTCCAGAGCCTTGCAGAGCAAGGCTTAAGGAGCATCAGGGTTTGAATCTAAAGTTAAGCTCTGAATATTCCACCCCGGCAGTACATTTAATGTATGGTTGGTATCCTGCCTGTTTGCTTTGATAGTATAGCTCTGCTAGGTTGTTTCTTCTGTATATCATAGTGTAATCATCGTGTTCAGTGTGCTTGCTGATATCGTCTATGCCATCGATCATCCTGCATTCAACGGGGGCATCTCTCTAGACATATCCTCTCTAGATGTTCCTACGGTTTTGAAGTCGTCCTCCGTCGTTCCTATCAGGTTACGCACTGTCTCTCTGGTCATCGGTTGCCTCTCTTCTCTCCCATAATTGAGGCTGTCCTTATAGCAGCTAGTCAGGGTATCTATCCAGCACTCGTGTTTCACATAGTGCTTGACCCTTATGGCTTCAGCGAAGGTTTCGTATTCGGGGTCCAGTTCTGTTTCGATGAACCTGTAGTATATACCTATATTATCGGAGTTGCGCAGTTTCCTGAAATTTTGGGGTTATACCCCTCACCGTCGCCATCTACCACGGTAGCGCTCCTCAATCTCAACGCATGTATATAAAAAATGCCTCTAAGTCCAGTAATTGTTTATAGCAGGGTCTTGGGTTAATATCTTTAGCACTTTCATAACCAGTTTCGGCTCTTCTTCCTGTGTGATTTCTTCCTCACCTGCATTCTATCTCTACAGTAGCCCTTACGTTTGCCACTTTCTCCTCTTTGTGTATAGGGTAGTACGGCGCGCCACGTCTGTGCCTAAATGACTGCTTCATGCCATTGGAGATGATTGTGAAGAACATGACTTCAATGGAGTATGTCCTCTTTGTTGTTCTTTCCTTTTGTCAGTGTTCTCCTTCTTACTGGCTTCCATTCTTTCACCTAGTGGCTTGTTTGACTCGTGTCTCTCCACCAGCTTCTCATAGTTTGCTCGTGCTTGTTCTTTGTCCTTCTGGGTGGTAGCCGTCACCAGTTTATCATCTCAGAAGCGGTGCTGACCTGAGCTATCTTACGGTCCTCGTAGAGCTCCATTACATCTCTGATCTTTGCTTGGTCGTCGGTGTTAACCTGTTTCTGTTTGCCCTCAGTGTTCCCTCTATTGCTTTCTGTTTCTTTGGATAGATTTGCGTGTCATATATTATGTAGTTCTCATTTCTGTAAGACACTCGTTCCTTGAAGTGTTGCCCATACTTTCGTTCTACATATTTCCTCTTTCTGCGTTTAAAGTAGTTAAAGGCATATTCCTATATATACCATTATTGGAAATAATGGTAAAAACCTCAATCTATCACGATATAATCAAGGATCTAAACCCTGATGGCTACACAATGGATAAAATCGAAAACCAGATGGCTATATTCAACAGGTTGTATTACTTGAAGCTGAAACAACAGGAGGGGTATGTAGAAAACAAGAGAGAGAAGGTCAAAAAGGCTTACCGCAAAAGGCAATAGCACAAAAGATCAAAGACAACAATATATAGATTAATGAGTTTTCCAGCCCTCAGGATGTACCGACTAAAAACCCCAAATTGTATTTTTAAGAAAACGTCAATTAAACTATTTCATTTTAATATGTATTACGAACTCACAGGCTGAACGCTGGAGCGCCTTGAACTGGTTCTGCTTCTTATGTATTCGATGGTTTCCTGCGATCGCCTGAACTTACTACACTTTGCGGGGGCGTAGCTTCATCAACATATTCAATGGTTCTGCTACTGGATGACTCAACTGTCAAAGGGTTGGAACCTTGAACGCTTATGACTTCTTCCGCAATTGAGCTTTCCGCTATTGGTAATAAGTGTCTTCGGCTCGTTGAACTTCTTTACTTCGACGATGGGTCTGATGGTAGGGGGGACTCGTCCTTTTTATTCGGTAAAGGTGCTTCTGAGCTTGAACTGTCTCGGTTTACTCCTTTTGGGGCTTCGGCCTGGGTTTACTCCTTGTAGGTTCACAACTTGGCATGGCAAAGTCTGGTCGCTGGCGACGTGACAGTGCATTTCATTGGCGGACAAAGAGAGCGGAAGACTCAAAAAACTAGCGGAATCCACTACAGCATCAGGGGTACTCGTCCATAATCAATCGGAGATGACGGCATATCTTGGTCTTGACTGCTAGATCAGCTTCCAGCGTAGAGGCAAGTTCAGTGCGTAAAGACAGCAATGACGGCGGTATACATGACAAAGGCTTCTTAGCAGCTTCATCAACAGCAGCATGGTGGTGGATAAGCCATAAACCATGAGTGTTGCAAGCAAAGAGTATCGATCTGTGAGCTTTGGTCCAGAACACAGCAATAGCACGTCCTGGTTTGGAAGACAAGAGTCGTGAACATGTACGAATCAAGTCCCCATCGCGGTGTGTGATCCACCTTTCCTCAGAATAACCAGAAACCAGAATCTGATTGACAATCTTTTCAACTGCTTGATTGTCTGTATAGATATCCGCTGAGGGCACAAAAGCAATTGCAGCATTGACAGCCTGAACTTCTGCACGGAAAAGTGTCTGTCTCCTTCCCGGCAATAGCCCAGCGCACAGAGTTGTATTACGAGGACCTGCATTATGAGCACATGTGACCGCCCATCCACAAAGCCTCAAGAAAGGACATGTGTTGTTGATCACCGGCGCATCTGTAAACAGGCTGAATCGATCTGCATCAACCGGTGGCTGCAAGATTTTAGGGTGTTCAAGGTCATCAACGGCGTGTTGGTATTTGTCATAACCCTGCAATTTTGCGAAAAGACCTGTCAACAGCATGTAATGCGGCTTCATACAGATATCTTTCCAATCTTGGTGCTCTCTGACCGAAAAAGTAGCAGGGCATTCATGAACTCTATGTTCCAGTGTATCCACAGCTCCACAATGGCAACAAAACTGCTCGTCAGTTGAGTTCACATGTGACTGCCTTCTTTGAGGGAACCGATTTTCCACATGAAGCCTTCCAAAAGGGGGTCCGGGAGGACAGGGTACTGGGACCGAAACACAGAAAAGTCTTGCAAATCAGTGAAGTTCTTCTTGGTGTGTAGGTGCCGCAACAAACCTCGCTCCCAGTCTGCAGAAACAATATCAACAAATTGAGCTGCAGAGATTTCCCATATCTTGAGGACCCAGCCATCCACCGAAACACATGTCCCATCACGTCGAAGCTCCCATCCCAAGTCATGTAACTGGTTTTGGAAAAGCGATACCATGCCCTTTGTAGATCTCTTATGGCCAAATCCAAAACTTCCCGAAGCATTCAAAGATCCTTGGACATTAATCTCAGAGAGGCCGCACATCGAGATGTCCCAGCAAACAGGGGGGTCAAGTAGTGAAGATGATATTGTTTCCTCTCCCACACAGAGTGATTGCGTTTCGCCCTGACTTCCCGGACAAAGTCCTTGCCAGCTGCCCAGGTTTGGGCACCGAAGAATACCAGGAGTAGTATGCCACGTGTAATAATCTGTGTTTTGATTTCTCAGACCAAGGCATTGTATAGAAGCCGATACAAGAGCACCTTTGCCTTCTTCCAACACTCATCACGAATTTGGGCAGAGAGTTGTTTGGATGTCTGAAATTTATCCCTAGTCAATTGAAGTTTTTGACGAGTCCAAGAACGAAGCCCTGTCCACTCAAGATTCGTTGCAGCTTCTTAGCCAACTGTTGTTCTGTGGCAAATAAACCAGATTGTCCATTGACAACAGGAGACCAAGATGTCTTTGCTCCTTTTAGGGGGACGGCTCCGTTTATTCCTTTAAGGGATTCGAGTTTCGGTCTGGGTTTACTCCTTTAATAGGGCTTCGGCATGGGTCCTTTTAGGGTTTAGGGCTTCGGCCTGGGTTTACTCCGTTTTACGGTTTCGGGCTCCGTTTGTTCCTTCTCGGAATTGAGACTTCTTGTCTTAGGGTTTCGGTCACGGTTCAATATTTTTGCGGCTTCGGCCTGGGTTTACTCTTGGCTTCTTTCAGTAGGGTTTCGGCCTGGGTTTCGTCCATCTAGGCCGTCGGTCTGTTCCGCCTCCTTTTTATGGCTTCCGGTTTCTTTCAAGCTTACCTTTCACTTCTTTTAGGGTATCGGGGTCGGTGTGCCATGTTTTCGCTTTGTACCTTCTTTCACTACGGTTTCGGTCTGGGTTTACTTTTTATATGGCTTCGGCCAGGGTTTGATCGCTTTGGGTTTCGGCTTTCTTTCAATACCTTTCGTTTCTTGCAAGGTACCGGGTTGGGTTTACTCCTATTTTGGTTTTGGGCCTTGTTTCATATATTATTAGGGTGTCGGTCTGGGTTTACTCCGTTTAGGGCTTCGGCCTGGGTGTGATCGTGTTCCGGGTTTCGCTTTTCTTTCAAGTTTACCTTTCGCTTCTCTCAAGGTATCGGGGTCAGTTTACTACACTTTCGTTGTCGGCCTTCTTTCATTACGGTTTCGGTCTGGGTTTACTGTTTACTCCTTTTAGGGCTTCGGCCTTTGGGTTTACTGCTTTTAGGTTTCGGGGTCCCTTTACTCCGTTTTGGGATCGGGCCTTCATAGCTTAAGGTTTCGGTCTGGGTTTACTCCGTTTAAAGCTTCGGCCTGGCTGTACTGTTCCTTCATTCGGGTTTCGGTCTGGGTTTACTCCTTTTACGATTTCGGGCTCCGTTTTTTCCTCTTAGGGATTCGGACTTCGTATTTGAAGGCTTCGGTCACGGTCGGGGTATACTCTTTTTGGTTTACTCCTCTGTTCTTTCCTTCGGGTTTCGTCTCGGTTTTCTCCTTTGCAGCCTTCGATTTTCGCGTTTCGGTTTCGGGCGCAGTCCATTTTACGGCTTTACTCCCGGCTTCTTTCATTAGGTTTTCGGTCTGGGTGTACTCCTCGGGCTGGGGTTTCCCCTTTTTAGGGTTTCGGCGTCCTTTCAATAGTCCGTGTCGAGGTTATATGTATATGTTTTTTGTGTATGTATATGTCTACATATATGTGTATGTATGTCTATATGTTTACGTACATGTTTCGTGCATAGCCATATGCATAGGTATAGGTATAAGTATAGGTCTTCTCATTCGAGACTGTTGCTTCCGGACAGTTAAAAGGACACAAGCGACCGCCTAAAAACACACAAGTGACCCTCAAAAAAAGACGCAGGTGACCCCCCCCTTCCGCCCAAACTCTCTTCACAAGAACCGCGAGCTTCACTGCAGCGCTGTCAAAATAGATTTGACTTGAGTCTTGCCACTGCTTTTTTCTTGCTTTCGTCGTGTTGGAAACTTGTGGCTCCAGGCTCCCGAAATTTCGGAAAAGTGCGTCCTTATCATCACTACCAGTCACTACCCATCACCTCACCGTCGCCATCGTTGAATCTACATACTTGCCGACTGGAAATGTAAATGGTCTGCAAGGGGCCACAAGCGCCTCCACGTTCAGGGCTTTCTGCCAGACTGGAGAGCCCCTGAGGAAGCGGCAGTCCGCAACAAGGACACTCCGAGACGCGAGCCTCTCTCTGCGGTCAGTCTGAGGCACAAGCAGAGAGCTTGAGATGGAGGTGGTGAGTCGGAGCCCTTGACGCAAATTTCCGAGGTGCTTTCGGACCTCCAGGGCCTCGAGCTCGAGCTGCTCGTTCTCCCTGTGCGCGAACCGCCGTATGCAGCCATCGTCGCCCCGGCATGCCCCGGCCACAGCGCCTGCTTCCTTCCGCTGCTCCTCTCGTCGTCTCTGCGCCAATGCCAAGAGCCTGGAGAACCAAAGCTTTTCTGCAATCTCACTCCCGTCTTCCTTCTCGGGGACGGGCCGGGCGTACTCTTGCACCGCAAGTCAAAGATGGATTTCGCCGTGAAGTTCTCACGGCCACAGAGCTTGCTCTCCTTGGCGACCTCTCTAGCTTTTGCTGTTGCTGTTGTGCTTGACGTGCCTGCCGCATGCTTTGCCACTTGCGGTTTCGCTCGTGGAAGCACGCGAAGGCATGCTCCACATCCTGTGGCTGAGACCTGCGCCTTTTTGCCAGCTCCAGCTCCGTTCGGAGTCCCTCCTCAGCCGCCTCGTCTCGTCGTTGCCTCTCCTGGTCCTTTTTCTCTTTCACCGCTGTTTGCCACCTTAGCTGCCGGTCGTAGACCGAGCGCGCGCTCTGCAGAGGTACAGCTCCAGTGCTCCGAGTCCTGCGACTCGGCGCCAGCCCGGTCTGCCGCCCGGTCTCCGTCTGGCCGGTCTCCGTCTGGCCGGTCTGGGGCTGGAAAGTGCACTCGCGCAGCTCGAGGTCCCTATGCTGCTCTCGAAGCTGGTGCTCCTTTGCGCGCTTCTCCTCGAGCCACTGCTGGCCACGACTGTGAAGGTCGTGTCGCGGAGACGATCGTTTCAAGGACGTTGCTAGACTTAGCGCGTGCTCCAGGCGATGGAGTGCCAGCGCCTGCGCGGCGTGCTGGCGCTCCGCGAGGCCGAAGCTGCCGAGACCGGGAGGCGCCTTCCGCTCGAAGCTCCATCGGGCGATGGAACGCTCCTTTAAGGCTGGTCGGGCCTCGGCACGAGATATGCTCAAGTGCCCAGAACTTGAAGGGCTTGAAGGGCTTGAGGGCCTATCCGGCCTATCCTCCGCAATCTGTGCGAAGCTGAACTCTGACATTCCTTCTGCTACGAGAAACGGCCCGGGCTCCGAAAGCCCGCGGGCGGGGGAGGGGGCCCTCCAGGGCGAGAGCGACGCCTCGCCCTGAAGCGGCCCTCGCCCTCGCTGCCCTCGCTCTCTTTCCGAGAGATCAGAATCCGTTTCGGTGAGCTCAGAAGGAACGCAGATTCCACATGCTTTGGCTTTGGGCCAGTCGACGTGGTCAGGGTCCTGGCAGACAAAGGGTTTTGAGTCTCAAGAAGGCTCAAGCGGCTCACAGAAGTCCTCGAGCTCCAGCTCCAAGACCTCCCCCACGCCGCCTTTCGCACGCTCGCGCTTCCCTCTGCCTCTCTCGGGACTTTCGAAAACGGCAAGACGGAACTCGATGTCTGCGGCCCAGCGCTTCCAGCGGCTCTGGTAATCGAGAAAGTGATCTTCTTCCGGCTCCAGACCTCGACCGCCTCGATTGCCTCCTCGCTCCTTAGCAAGGTCCTCGAAGTCCTCGTCTTGACCCGATCCTCTCACCTGAAACAGATTTTCAAGAAATCCCAGACCCAGAGCCCGCAGAGCCCACGGAGCCCGCGGAGCCCGCGGAGCCCGCGGCCTGGATCTCGCGCAGCACGGGCCGACTCCGCCTTGTCCCTGTTTGCTGCTTCGGCACAGCCAAACCTGGTTCGCATTGCTTCGCCATACCCACATCCACTTGCGAACTCACCCTGCAGCACGCCTTGAATCGAAACCAAAGATGTGTTCTCCTGCAAGCCACAGGCACCGCAAGCGGCGATGCGAGCAATGAGCAAAAGGACAGTGGGCCTTCCAGTCGCCCGTCCTGCAGCATAGCGAACAACGCAGCATCGCAGTTTCGCGCGGCATCTCGGCCTCGCTGCTTCATCCTCCAGCGTTGCCATCGCGCTTTTTGAACATTTAAGCTCCCACACACACTACGCTTGTGCCTCACGGCCATACAAGTTCCCCCCATGTCGAGTTTGAGCTATCCAGTCGCAGCCAGGTATTGCCAAATTTTGCACGAATTAACTTGGAGCCGCAAACATGCGATTCGAGATGAGTGTAACGCCGGGTTTACTGCGACTGCATGCTCTCGCCGAGCGCTGCACATACCAGCAGCAGCCTTTTGCTCACTGGCTGTCAGAAGATCGGACTGCCTTAGGCATCGGACTGAGCAGGACTGGGGTGGCACGAGGCGCCCATGGACCGAGGAACAATTGCAGCGCGGCAGTAAATGTCTGATCGTCAAAGAGACTCTTCTTCCACGCCTCGACAAGGAGGGCAGGGCGGAGGTCCCACGGCGACTTCACTTCCCCACTCTTCCCGACCCAGCGAACTAGGCCGCTGGCCTCAGCGAGTCTCCAATCGAGAGTCCAATGTCTTTGGCATTCTTCACCTCAGACTCAGACGGCTTTTGCGAAGCCAGTGACCCTCCTCCTTCCTCTGGGCTATAGCATGGCATCACAGCCTCCTTCGTAATCTCGTCCTCCTCCACGGCCTTGATGCCGTGCCTGACATTGCTGCTTTCGCTCCGCGATTTCTCGCAGCCTATGGCAAGGTCGGCCTATGACGGACGAAGGCATCGCCTGAGAACACGAGCCTCACAGTGATGAGGGTGGCGACACCATCAACCGCTCGCAGAGGCCGCCACAGGCTTCCAGGCTCAAGCAGCAGACTCAGCTGAGGCCTTCCAAGTGTGACGCAGAAGTGCGGCCAGCCCGTACAGTACTGTTCAGTGCGCCGCCCGTCCAGATGTAGGCCTTGTGCCCGCTGGTAGCTCGGGCGAGGAAGGCACCTGCGGCTCTGTCCGATTGTGCTCCTGTCAGCTCTGCTGCAGCCTCGCCTCTTTGTCTCGATCCCAAGTGAAACCGCGCGGATGCTCTTCCTCGAAGCCTGGCTACATCCGCAGTTGAACGCACTGCTCAAAGGTTGCTTAGACGGCCCCAGGCGTGGGTAGAAATCGAAGATGCAGTGCGAACCGAGGCTGATGATGGCAGCCTCGGACAAACTGAAGCCTTGAAAAAGAACAACATTTACAGTGTACATTTTTAGCACCGTGATTTGTTCTTGCCTCCACCCTTCTTTTTCCACCCCTGCAAGCCTTCCGCGAAACCATAAATTCTAGGCGCCCGCAATCGGTCTGATGCACTCTGCCCTGCATATTCGTGGTGGCATACTCACATGTATATATGGTGCAGCGCTGCTATAGGCCCCCCCTCCCCCCAACCCCATGGCTGCCCCACGTGGTTTCCCTGTGCCTGTGGCTGCGCCCCCTTCCATGGCTATTGCGCCGAAAACAGGCAGCCACAAGCGAACGAACGCGCCCCATGTAGTTGACGACGTCCTCCCTGTGACACCCACAAGTCCAAGAGTCCCGAGGCACGTTATGTTGAGCACCGGCAGAGCGACCGTGTCCTTCACACCAGAAACAAACTGCAGGTCCACCCAGAGGACCACATTGAAATCGAAACTCCGAGGAGTGGCCGAAGGTATAATTAGTCGGATCTCGAGATAACTCCCTTTGGAATGAACACCACAACTGTGCAACCAACATAACCACCGCCCCCGCAGAGAAGCCCCGGACTTGCGACGGCACAGGCAGGATCAGCAACGCAGAGGTCTGCATTGCGGAGGGCAAGCCCATGGGTCACGGCAATGGGCGAAACGGAGTTCGCCCGATGAGCATTGCCAGGCGGTGGTTGACTTCCCCGCTCACAATGAAAGGTTGCGCCGACTGGCTGCGGGGCTACTTGCCCGCAAAATACGACCACACAGCTAAGGTGCTGGGGCAGTGGGCTGAGTTCCGCAAAGGGCAGGCTGGGTTCAGCCGCCACTGCTGGGTGCAAGGCCGCGAAGGCGATCCTTCGACGAGGTGGCGGCGGCGGCGGCCGATGGGTTGTGCCCCCTGGAACAGATTGCGGATGCGACCACAACCTGATGGCCATTGCTTTATGTTATGTGGGGAGCTGGATGTGATCACACAGCCTTCCGATATGACCCAGGGTATCTGGAAGCCGGGGATCAAGCGCCGAGATCTACATCAGCCAGCAGGGATATGTGGAAGAGCTTCTGAGAACCGATGGCATCGGTTCGGGAGAGCAGGATGCATTCCAGTTGTGATTGTATTCAAACCCCGGTATGTTCTTTGTTTACTCCTTGTCGCTTTAAAGGATTGTCAGTATCACTTCTGACACAATGACGGGGAACAGGCTTGGCTCCGGGTAGCTTGCAACAGCATCTTACAACCCAAGATGTCTACACATCTCAAGAACAGGTGAACAACATCTCGACTCGCTAGCTGGCACGGGTGCCGGATGGCTCATGTCCTACAAAAGGCACCTCTGCCAAACAAGACCTATCGTTTTGTTATCGTCTTGGACACTCAACTTGCCTCGAATGGGAGGCTTAATGTAGCAATCTTTAAGGTTCAGTTTGCAGCGGTGAAGCCTGCACGAGCAAGTGCAGTCTCTCAAGCCTCCGTTTGTACTAGCGCAGCTTCTCAAGCCTCAGCGAACCTTGCTTGCACAAGTGCAGGCTCTAAAGCCTCAGTTTGCACAAAAAGCAACAGCAGTTCAGCAGCAGTAGCCTCAAGATACAGTAGCAGCAGAGCCGTAAACCGTAGGCAGTGGTAATCATAGCAGGACAAGTCATAGCACTCATGTAACATACATTCAAACATGACCGTTTTGTTGTACTTCTTATCGCTTGACAGGCTAAACGAGGGGCATCCCAGACTAGTCTACAGCAACACCTCTCGTTATTGAGTTATACAACCTCAGATGTCGACTGAGCAGGCCATCAACGAGGTCATTCACAGCGATCTTTCCCGCAACGAAAGATACAATATCCCGTGCTCAAACGATGACAGATGGCCCCGATATCACGACCAGGTTTGAGCTATTCAAGCTTTGAACACCGTTTGCAGCTGGCATCGCGCTCTACCCGCGCACACTGAAGAGTTATCGATGTTGCCTTTAAGATGTTGACAGAATTGCACAAGACCGTTGACTACACTCCGAAGGTGAATGCCGAGCTTGACATGATTCACATGTATCCTGATGCAGCGTTCGCCCCCCAGCAAGTTCGAGGTCCCACACGGGTTCAAAGTGATGTGGGGACAAACGCCAATGGTTTGTCGAAGTTCGAGGCAGGCCACGACAACGTTGATTACAGAGCGAGCAAACAGCAAGCTGGCAGGCGGGCAAGCAGCACAGGCCGCGGAACTTATTGACTGAGTAAGTCCATTCAGTGCGAGCTCCACTATGCCCTGTTCCGCGTGCAATATCGTAATGAGCAAGAAAGGTCTCCTGCGCCTCATATCTTCGAACAAACGGATCACAAACATCTCCTCTCTCCCCTCTCTCTCGTAGCAGACGTCCCTCACCTTGGTGGAAGACTGGGAGCACTTCTCAATCTTTGTTCTCTGTCTCTTTCAATCTGCAAACGCCTCCGCCGTGAACACCGGGAACGACTTCGTTTTCTAGCACAGTTTCCTTCTACTGCTCAATAAGAAGCCAGGACCTCCATGGAATGAGTTTCTGGCTGCAGGCACGAGAGCTCCTTTCTGTAGCTCTCAATAAAAGAGGCGCAGGTGTTGCAAGACGTAAACGAGCTACAAACAAGAGTTGTCTTCTGTTTTGTGGGCAGCAACCTCACTCGGATAAAGGCGCACAAGAAGTGGCAGAATCCTTCACAGTCTTCACAGGCAAGGACGAACCGAATTTTGAAGTCTGAAAGCTTGCCGAAAGGCTCGTGGGAAGTACACGGGTCCGTCCAAGTGTGGCAAGATGCCTGGGGCACGGAGCTTCAGCTGCCAGGGCACAACCAGAGCCTGCGGCACTCTGGGCCTTGGCCAGGCCTGGCATCATGGCTGAACAGAGACGAACATGCTTGCGCGTCGACCAACTTTTCTGGGGTCCACACTTGTAAGCATTCAGCCGAACCTGTGTTGCTTTTTGCTTTGCACTGTTGCGCCGTCGGTCAAACTCAGTTAACTTGGACTTTTCACGGGGTCAATATAGAAATACACCAGACCTGTTGCCGAGACATGAAACACGTCTAAGAATGCTAAACTCTCCTCCCCGCTTCCTCCCCTCGCCTCCCTACCTGATGCTAGCCGCGGAGCATTCAGCCCATGCCTAGGAAAACGAACTCTACGCCCTACGCATCCCTACGCCCTAATTCGGCATGTCTCCCAGAACGAGACCAATGCTTCGGCGCACTAGCAGTCACTAACAGAAAATTGTCTGAAAGTGCTGTAGACTTTCCTGCACCTGCTTCGGGAAATCTGTTTAGAGCAAAGATGAAGGCGATGACGATGGTTGGCTCATGCTCGGTTTCTTATGTTGCGCGGCCTTGCTCACGGACTAAGAATAACTCCACATTGCCGTGAGAGCTGAGAGCTGCACGCTGTTCGCAGGGAACAGGACAGGGTGGAAGACTCCCAGCGTTCCCAGCGCATCCACCAAAGTGCTCTGCCAGGCTGGCAGCGCCTGAGCGCAGCAAAGACCTTTCTGGCTGTGGCTCTCCGTCATGGGCTCGGCACCGCCCTCATCAAACTTCGGCCACAAGGACATTGGCCCGACGACCCAAACCTCAAAACACAGAATCAGAATCCATTTTCAGCAGGAGGCTCTGAGCCTCTTCTCCTGGCTCCGGACTCCTGTGTGTCGCGTGTTCGCATTC